GATCTCATGCTCTGAAAGACACTGTTTGAGCATCTGTGTGGAAACATGCCTGCTATATCCAGTAATTCCTCTGTTCACCAACAACTAGAGTACTACCCAAATGGTACTACCAAATGGTAGGATTCTGGTCGCCTTACCGCAGCCTTATTCCACTTGTTCACTATCTTCGTTTCGTCTCAATACGGGAAGAATGAGCGTACGCCTAGTAAATATATGGGGGAGAGTTTTCGTTTGAATATATTTTCAAAGCGTAAACAGATATTTGAAAACGGATTTCGGCATTGAAATCAGCGTGAAAATCTGGTTTATAATGATGTGTCATACCGTTATCATTACATTTAATTTTTTTTATTTATATCCAAAATGGCAGATCCAAGATGGCGGCCAAAAATGAGTTCCCTATGTAAATGAAGTACTAACCACCCAATAAACTTCGGTGGTCGTCCCAAGTCAATATATCACAAAATTTTGAATAAAATATGCATGTGATATATTTTTTTCAAATTTCTCCAATGTTGAGAAAAGCCGCCATTTTTATCGTGATTTTAGGTGGTTTTCTGTAGACCGATTTTTGGCAAATTTTAGTATGTCACTCTGCAGACCCAACGCTACAAAATAAAACCATAAAACGGTTTCTTGCAATTTTTTTAACGTTCCCTGTGTCAGTTTTTTTAGTTTGCTTGGACTAATAAAAATTTGTCAAAATAACAAAAAAATCGACGTTTTATTGTACAAAAATTTAAATATTTTCGTATCCATAAGTCTTAGAACCAAATTGTTATATTTATATTATAAGAAATTTAATTGTCTACAACATTGACGTTACATATATTTCGCTAAAACGCACCAAAATGGAGATATAGGCGAAAATCTCTAGAAAGTACAGATTTTTTTCGATTTTTCAATATGGCGGCGGGCGCGGAGGGGGGAGAATTGTGCATTTTTCATTTTAAACACCTACTTACTATCCTAGACAACATATAAAAAATTTAGACTTACCGGACCGTTTGTAAGTTAACATACCTCTATTCACTGGACTAAAGCTTTGGAGAAAACAAAACTGAATCAATTTAATTTTAGTCGGAGATTTTCTTAAAACACATTTGATTATATGTTATCGAGACAATGTAACAGCGTATTTTACTTTCCGAGATCATATTTAAAACTTGAAACTAAGAAGAATAAGTGCAGTTGTGCTTGTGCCTTGTGCTAAAATTAAATACCCCCGACGCAGCAAACCTGCAGACTTAGCGAATTTCCATTTGCCTCGTTGGATTTACACTAAAACGTCTCCTTAAATATATCACATTTATTCCCTATTTAAATAGAATTAGTTTATAACGAGTATGTACTTAGGTTTGCTGTAACAGGGAGGGTAAAAAAGTGTTTTTTAATGTAAAATGATAATAGGTACTGTAGTTTAGTAAGACATTAATGTATTTTCCAAATTTGATCAAAATATGTTCATAAATAAGCAAACTACAACAGTTGACTTATTCTCCATAAGAATAACATGGGAATTTTAAAATTACAATTTTTTTGAATTTCCTCCGTAACCCTTAGGCGCATAATAACGCTTCAATATACTAAATTATTTTGTTTCTTTAAGCTCTACATAATGGTTTGGAAAGTAATTGTGAAATTTTGTGTTTTTAGGGTCAAAATGGGAAAAACCTATTTTTACCCCATAAAACCCCCCATTAACCCCCGTTCCCATAGTCCGATCATGCTGGTTCGTGAACTCATTCAAGTTTATCCTGCATTACACCTTTACATCAAATTTCATCAAAATAGGACAAAAATTACTCAAGTTATCGCGTTCACGGACACACACATATATATATATAAATCTATATATATATATACATATATATAAATTTTAACGAATGGTGTTTTTGGCCTCTGGGGTCATCAAAATGAAAAAGTAAATCGGCCCCGGGTCTATGTCTTACCATGCCACCTAGGGCAATAGCTTACTTCCCTATAGGGAAATTCGCTAAAAAACGACGCGGGTCAAACAAAACTGAGGTTATATAAACATAAAATTTACCTGTCTTCCTGTCTAAACATCGATGGTCTTACCTTACCTACATTATACCTGTCTAGTGTCTAGTCCACTGACGCAGGACGCTGAATTTTTATTTCAGGATTAGTGTTGCCTACAGTATTATTTTGAGGCTTCTGACTGGCTGAGGGAACATCATTACCGCGACGATACGATTGATGCCATCGGCCTCGGTGGTGTAGTGGATAGATTGCTGGGCTGATGAGCCGAAGGACCCGTGTTCGAATCCCACCAGTAGCACTATTTTTTGTATTGGATTTTTTCATTATCAACAAGTTTGGTTGGTTTGGTTAGGTTATGACGGTTTAATGTTATAATTAAAACATTATGAAATTGAATTTGACCCATTTACAGTTTTATTTTATGAACAGAAATATTTTTTTCGGTTAAGCCTTCATTTGATTTTTCATTATTAGCAAGTCTGGTTAGTTTGGTTAGGTTATGATAGTTTAATTTTAGAATAAAAAAAATATAAAATAGGATTTGAGGCATTTATAATTTTATTTTATGAACAGAACTATTTTTTCGATTAATAAACCTTCATTAGATTTTTTTCATTGTCAGCACGTTTGGTTGGTTAGGTTAGGTTATGAAGGTTTAGTTTCATAATAATAAAATATAAAATTGAATTTGAGGCATTTATAATTTTATTCTATGAAAAATAGTTATTTGTGCAACTAGTGAGAAAAGTGAGCAATTGACTCACTCGAGAGAAATCCTTACTCACGAGCCGTAGACGAGTGAGGAATGGTTTCTCGAGTGAGGCAATTGCACTTTGAACTCGAGTTGCACATTATACTTTTCCTACAGTCACCATAAAACAAATAAATTGGTGAAGAAACATAACCTATTTTTACACAGAAGTGAACTTTTAATATAACATTTAATGTGAAGTGATAAATACAACAGTACAACAGCTGACCAGCTGATTTACAGCCAGTGCTGCCAACGTATTTAGCGCGCATACGACGTTGCCTGCATGTTACTCGCTCACTATTTCGTGCCTTCACGTTGCAAATCTGGAGTGAGACAAAGTAATTAGAGTGAGACAATGTTAACATTGTCTCACTGATGAGCGAATTGGCCACTTTGCTTTCTCAAATAAGTGAGAGAACATGTACATTGTTAGGTAACTGTAGGAAAAAATAATTTTTCAATTACTAAACCTTCGTTAGTCAATCAGAAGTCTCTAAATGACACTGTTGGCAAAATTAATCCTGAAAAACAAATTGTGCACACAGGACACAGACAGGCGGCAGGCGGACGCACAATTTTTATTTCAGCTGCAGTTATTTTAATAAGAACAAAATGAGAGCATTCTATTGGCTGAGGGAACACCATTAGCGCAATGAAACTGTGTGAAACCATCGGCCTAGGTAGTCTAGTGGATAGCGTACCGGGCATCTAAACTTATGGTACCAGGTTCGAAACCCATCGGGGGCACAAACTTTTTGTTCAAGATTTTTGCATTATCAGCAAGTTTGGTTAGTTTTGTTAGGTTATAACAGTTAAATTTTATAATTAAAACCCTATAAAATTGAATTTGAGCTATTTATAGTTTTATTTTATGAACAGAACTATTTTTTCGATTAGTAAACCTTCATTTAATTTTTTCATTATCAGCAAGTTTGGTTAGTTTGGTTAGGTTATGGCAGTTTAATTTTATAATTAAAAAATATAAAATTTAATTTGAGGCATTTATAGTTTTATTTTATGAACAGAACTATTTTTTCTATTAGTAAACCTTCATTCAATTTTGTCATTATCAGCAAGTTTGGTTAGTTAGGTTAGGTTATGACAGTTTAATTAAAAAAATAATTATATATTTTTTTTTAGTTTTAGGCCTACAATAATATTTTTTTTAATTTCTTATTTTTAAACTCTCATTTTGTCCGTATTAAAAAACTGCAGCTGAAATAAAAATCGTGCCAGGCGGACACGACAACTGGTCTGGACTGAACTGACTGAAGACTGAGTGGACAACGACAGTCGACAACATTCGACAACGACAACACAATCAGTAATCACAATCCTGCGGATAGCGCTGGGTTCACAACGATATGGTAGGCATTCGGTTAAATATCGAGCTTGTTTTCTACCGGATGACAGACATCGACTTTTAGTATCGGCATCGGCTCTCTGGCTCACCGCACCGGCTGTCTCATACTCATGGTGGAATAGTAAACTATTGCCTTGGTGCCTTCTGCTGCAGCTGCTCCTATAGCTCCTATGTCTGTCGTCAAACGTCATAATGTGGCCTGGCCGACGGAAGGCCATAATTTTATTCACAATATTACAGTGAGAGTGAATGCAAATAAATAAGTACAACATAATATCTGAATCTGGCATAAAATTTGCCAATGAAAATGTTTATTATCCAATTACATTAAGGCTGATAACCAGCATGATAAATACATAAGAACTTAAATTACGGAGGAATTTTAAAATTAATATTCCAGTAACTTGCGCAATTAACGCCAGATAAATTACCACCCCCTTACTTTTAAAAGCGTTTAGATGACCTTTGCATATTTCCTCCATAATAATGCACTATGCACCATGAAACTGATCAAAAGGAACAATGTTGGAATAAATTAAATCAAATATTTTCCTCTCCTTTTAGGCTAGTCCTAGTAGTTTTTGTAATCTCTTGTCTTCTCTCTTCTGTCTGTCGGTGTTGGTTGGTTTGGTTTTTTTTTAACAAAGTTTATTTACAATCTGTTTTACATTAAACAATTAATAATTAAATACGATGACATTTTTATTAATAAAATAAAAATTGGAAAACATGAGTTAGCAGCTAAACTGGTTTGTTTACGTTTTGGTTGGTTGGTTGGCGCTATGGAAGCCAATCGATTTACGATATTCGATAGTAGCTGTTTTCATACTACGACGATCGATACTTAACCGTATGCCTACCATATCGTTGTGAACCCAGCGCTATCCCAATCCTGCGCTCCGTCAGACTGCGAGTGCGAGTGCCGAGTACTGCGACTGCGCTTGAAGTTATTGTTACAGTAATAAATTACTTGTGAGTAAAGTTTTATCATTAACGCATCTTAAACATTAATTAATTAATTGTAGGTTGTTGCATATTATGTATTAAATATTTTGCGTTGGTCTAAAACTATATTAAGATGCCTTTGTACTTAAAACAACACAAGTTTGATTATGTAACCTGTTACATCCTTAGCCTGTAAGCTGTGTATTCGTCATTTTCAGCAATAATTAATTTTTGATTGTTTACTATATTATTCTATACAGAACAAATAAAACATTCCCTGTAATCAAAACGGTGTAGTGAAAATCAATTTTTTTTTTTAAGAATGGGTAAAGTGAGGTTAATTATGTAAGAAATGGCATTTAACTTATTACCTAATTTATTCAAAAGCCCGTAGGTAGTAATAATGTTTAACTTATTAACTTTAAACCGTACTTTTTAAGCTATTTTGAGGACCTAGTTTAATGTGTTCAAGCTTCCCAGTTTATTTTTTAAAGGTCAAGAAATGTTAATAAAGAAACTTGTACTCGTATAATGTCATGTTTTTTTTTTTTTTATTGAGACTTGTGGTTTTAATATCAAAGGAATACTGCAACATTACAACACATTCAAGCATGTTTGATTTACAAAAACACCCTGGTGCCAATGTGCATGCTATAAACAGAAATTGTCCAAAATCAGACCATGATTTTGAACCAGAGAACTTATTTTATCTAAGAAGTGTTTAAGAACTAGCACACAACACGACTGCATTATACCTGCCCAGCAAGCAACAGTTCATGTCGACCACGCTTAAAACAAGTAAACTTTTCTTTCAACTTTTCTGAAAATACACATTTTCTTTTCGGCATTAGGGTAGGCCCTAGGGACGATCAACACGGACAAATTAAAAAGTAAGATAATTATTTTTTAAGTAGGCATGTAACATGTAACGTAAAGTAAGCAAGTAAGCAGACGAAGAGCTAGTCACTAGTCGACGGCCGACGGTCGCTAGTATGCTACTGGCCTGGCAAGCTGGCTACTAGTGAGCAGAGTTATTCAGTTTCGCCTTCCGTTATGTTTTGTTCTACAGTATTTCCAATGGATTCTAGCGTACGTTATACACGAAATTTGACCTAAAGAAAGAGGAAATGACACTTTTATACGTAAGATATTATTAAAGTGTAGTATTTTATCTTAGTTTAATGTTATGATGACGATTAATTATAAAAGCTGATTGCTAACATTAATACTTGCAGAAATATTTTTTTATTTTCTCACAAAGTCAAAATCCCGGACATTTGAAAGTATTGCCAAAAATCCCCCCGGACGTTTTTTTTGTACCCAAAAAGAGGACGTGTCCGGGAAAAAGAGGACGTCTGGGATCCCTATGGTTGAATGAATCTCTGCTTTGATTGATTTTATTTACATGCACCTTCAGGAGTTGATGTGTAGTACAGTAGTCTCCCTATTATCCGGACTCTTCGGGACCGAGGCCAGTCCGGATAAACTTAGGAGAGCATTGTATTTAGACACAAGATCACTGGTCCAGTTTTATAGAGTAGGCTAGTAAGCTACGATAGTAAAATTTATTACTTATGTTTGAGCTTTAGCTTTGACTATTAATACAACAACAATAGTATCCAATAGTCAATGGCTTTAGTGAGTAAAATTGTTAGGTATTAATTATGAACAAGTGGTCAATCATTCATTTTCACCACACTTAGGCCTACATAGTAAGCAGTTTTTTTCCTACTTATTATTTTTGGACCAGAAAGTTGTTCACAGAAAGGAACGTGTAAGGTCAGGTAAACTTACTCCTACTGGTCAGTTTTCTAACAGACTTAGTTACAACATTGCCTTTCTTTGACGCTGAACCTTTCTGTTTTATCTGACATGACGTTAAGTTTAGTTCTGATGTCTCTGCCAAACATCATCTTGTATGCAGACATTCCAGTTGTAGAGCTTGGTGCCTTCCTCAGCTGCGTGACTAATGCGTCGATCTTTGTTTGTATGAAATGAAATGAAATGAAATATGAAATGAAATATGCTTTATTGTCTTTTGAATTTGTACAAATCATCGACAATGTCAAGATACAGCTAAAATTATAGCATAGTCAGGTAATTAATTAATAAAATACTTATAGCTAACTTGACAAAGGGAGACATATTATAATACATATTCTAAATGAATAATTACAACTGAAGAATCTTATTCTTAAAAAAATCTTCCAAACTATAAAATGGGTTATTGGTCAGCCAACAATAAAATTTACTTTTAAAATCCTTTATATTGTGTAATTTAATTATGGATTCAAGAAAGTTGTACACTTTAAGTGACAAAACTATGTGACTATTTAGAGTTTTACTTAAACGATGGAATTCTATTGTGGTGTGGTTCTTATTTCTGGTATTATGATCATGAGTATGGTTTCTAAATTTTAAAAGATGTTGATTTTCCAAGATATAAACTATTAAGTCATAAATATAAACGTTAATAATAGTAGGGATTTGAAGATTTCTAAAAAGTGGTTTGCTGTGGTCTCTTGAGCCTTTATTAGAGATAACTCTAACCGCTTTCTTTTGCCAAACAAGAATTTCCTCTACCCTAGCACAATTGCCCCAAAAAATTAGCCCATACCTGAAAATGGATTGAAAATATGAAAAATATGCTGTTCGGACATAATTTAATGGAATGCATTTTTTCAGACGACCTAGTAAAAATATTACACGAGAAAGTCTGGTATTTAAATAGTCTATATGAGAATCCCAAGTTAGCTGACTATCTACATATATTCCCAAAAACTTTGCTGAAAAAACTTTACTACCCTTATCACTGTTCTCAAAAAACTCTCTTGAATTATAATTTAAGGAAAATAACAATTTTTGTGATTTTTCTTTGTTAAGCAAAAGTCCATTACTATGAAACCAATTTTGTGCATTATTTAATGTTTCATCAGCCAATTTTTCAAGTTCTTTATAGTTTTTACTAGTAGATAAAAAGGTAGAGTCATCTGCGTACAGAATGGTTTTACAATCAACAGAAGAGGGTAGATCATTTATATAGATTAAGAAAAGAAGGGGACCAAGGACTGAACCCTGTGGCACTCCCCACTTGACTGACACTTCATCTGACCATCTTCCTTTTATACAAACTGCTTGTTTCCGATTTTGCAAGTAGCTTCTTAAAAAAGATAATGGAGGGCCATCAAATCCATAGTACTGTAATTTAGAAATGAGAATATTACTGTCAACAGAGTCAAAAGCTTTACTGAGGTCACAGAAGGTGGCCTGAGCATAAGTTTTATTTTCAAAAGAGAGATGAACTTGCCTGACTAGATCGTCCAATGCATTGATAGTGGATTTTCCCTTTCTAAAACCGTATTGGTTGTTGTTCAAGATGTTGTTTTTTTCAAAATAATTTCTGATTTGATCGTAAATAAGTATTTCTATTAGTTTTCCCAACACAGGTATAATTGAAACTGGTCTGTAGCTCTGAGGTTGGTCTTTAGGACCTTTTTTGTAAATAGGACAGACTCGAGAGACTTTGAGCAAGTCAGGAAAAACCCCTTCTGATAAAAGGTTATTTATGCATATTGCCAAGGGGTTAGCCAAACAGTCAATAATAACTTTTAACAGATTGTTTGACATATTGTACACATCCACACTAGCTGATCTTTTCATCCTTTTAGTGGCACTAAGAATATCACTAGGTGTGATGGCTGACCAACAAAATTTATTACAACTATCAATTTCATATTTTTTCAAAAAATCATTACAAGAAGTGATTATACCTGGAATTTTAATAATTTGTTTGATCTTGTCTACACTGTCAACAAAAAACCTATTGAAAGTATTTGGCTCAATTTGCAAATCAGCTGTGTTTTTTATTTCACAGTTATTCTTTATTACCTCCCATGCGGCTTTACATCTGTTATTACTTTCTTCTATGTATTTAGCATTGTTTTCTAGCTTTGCTTCATTTAAAGAGTTTTTATATTGACATTTCAGTTTTAAATATTTATACCTTAGTTCAGTATTGTTCACATTTCCAGTATCTTTAAGCAAACTATACAGACACAATAGCCTTTCTTTCATTTGACCCAACTCTTTAGTATACCATCCCTTGTTCAGTTTGTTCAAATACTTAGGTTTGAATAGTTTACCTTTATTTTTATTCGGGACCATAAAATAATTAATATTGTTGATTAGTATATTAAATAAACATTGGAACTGCATATTAGCACTACTACTCTCAGACTTGGACATTAAAGATAGCCAATCATAAGTAGACAATTTTAGAGACAGATGTACATGACTTTTAATAGGTAGATAAAACTGAATGGGATCTTTTGAGACTAAATGAGATGTATTATCTATAACTAATGGTTCATTCTGCATATTAATAATAATTCCATCATGGTCCGAAAAAGGAAATTTGAACAAACTTAAAAAAGAGAGCCTAGCAGATTTTTGGTTTACAAACACATTATCTAGACAGTTTGTGCCTCTAGTTGGTGAATTATTTAAATGATAAAAGTTGTACTGTTTAAATAGATTTAACAAGTTTTTTACATTTCTTTTGCTTTTAGTAACATCAAAAATCAGTCACCTCTGTGTCACCTCTCTCCCCCACCATTGAATTTAGCTTCACTGTTTGTACGAATCTTTCTGCTTGTCCATTGCTAGAAGGATGAAATGGTGCGCATGTTCTATGACAAATTCCATTTTCTTTCAAATAGTTTTGAAAAGCCGTGCTGGTGAATTGTGTCCCGTTGTCTGTAACGACTGTCACTGGAAGACCGAACGTTGTAAATAGATGTTGTAGCTTTTTGATACACCATTCTGCTGTAGTCGATTTTGTATGCAATATCTCTAGCCATTTAGTATGGGCATCAATGATGACTAGGAAGTAATTTCCATTCATGGGCCCAAGGAAATCTAAGTGTATTCTCTCCCATGGTCCAGATGGTTCTTCCCAAGGGTGATTCCTATCTTTTGGAGGTTCATTTCTCTTCTGGGAACATATCTTATAGTTTCTGACCAACTCT